TGGCGGCGGCGGCGGCCGTGGCCGTAGCAGCGGCAGCAGCGGGAGACGAAGTCGGGGGCGGGAAACGGACGCCAGAGGGGCGGAGGCGTCCTCCCAGGCAGCCGGCCGGCGCGTACTTATTGGGCTCGGAGCCACAGGAAGTCCCGCCCCTGTATCATCACGGGCCGGCAACGCTGTCGCTCAAGACCACGTGCGGGGACGGAGAAGCGTGCAGACCAATGAGAAGAGGAGTTGGAACGGAGCTAGCTAACGGGATTGGATAACGGGCAGACCAAAAGGGCGTGACCTAGAGACCTAATGGAAGGGGGCGGATACTACAGGAGGTGAAAGGGGAAAGGTGTGTGGAGGGAAACGAAGGCGCTAAAGGGGTGACGGGGCGTGGCTCCCCGGAGGGGCGGAACCAAGGCCTCCCTATGCTTGAAATAGGAGGTTGACCATTGGATATCACCGGAACAAAGGCCCAATCATCGGAGGAGGCAGGTTACCAACTGAAGGCGGGACTAAATGCAGGGAAGTAGGCTATTGGCTATTACAGGAGGTGGGACTTAGTAGCCAGTCTTCCATTGGCTAACATAAAGAGGCTCAACTTAAATAGGGAGGAGCCAATGCCAGGTTGAGCAGGCTTATTCTAGGAGTTATAAAATGTGATTAAGCACCCACTATGGCCTGGGACCACAGGAAAATGCGGACCATACATGTTAACTTACATTACACATAGGTGTCTATATGCATAACATCTAAGTTAGTGTACTGTAATAGTTTAGGTCCTAACATCCAATATACACATATGTATGAGGTACATATTATATATACTGGTTATATTGTTAATATACATATTATGAGTCAGGTGCTGCTGGCTCAGGACTATAATCCGATTCAGCAGGCTGAGATCTGAGAACCATGGTTTGAAGCCAGCCCTGGCAGAAGGAAAGTCCATGAGACTCTTACCTCCAATGAACCACCAGAAAACTGGAAGTTGTGCTGTGTCTCAAAGTGGTAGAGCGCTAGCCTTGAGCAATAAAAATAAAAGCTCAGGGACAGAGGCCAGGCCCGAGAGACAGCTTACTCTCCTGTGGGACCTCTGAGGACTTTCAAACATGAGAATTGCACCATTAGAAATGGACAATCTGGGGCTGGGAAGGTGGCTCAGTGGTAGAGCGCTTGCCTTGCATGCGTGAGGCCCTGGGTTCGATTCCTCAGCACAACATAAGCAAAAAGAAAAAAGCCGGAAGTGGCGCTGTGGCTCAAGTCGTAGAGCGCTAGTCCTTGAGCTAAGAGCTGAGGGACAGTGCCCAGGCCCAGAGTTCAGGCCCCATGACTGGACCCAAAAAAAAAAAAAATAGAAATGGACAATCTGGTCAGGTGCCAGTGGCTCACACCTGTATTCCTAGCTATTCAGGGAGCTAAAATCTGAGAATCATTGTTTGAAGCCAGCCCAAGCAAGAAAGTCTGTAAGCCTCATCTCAACCACTAAAATAGCCAGAAGTAGAGTTGTGGCTCAAGTTGTTAAAACGCTAGCTATGAGCACAAAAAGCTAAAGGACAGAGCTGATGCCCTGAATTCAAGCCCCAGGAATGGTACAAAACAAAACAAAGAATTGGACAATATGGCGAACAAAAGCATTAGGAAGGTGAGGGAGACAGGAGACAAAATGCAAACTGGATGACTGAGTGGAGAATGGTACTCATGACATGAGCATGGAAGTTTAGCTTCTAGTTTGACTTTGCTGAGGCTGGTGTGCAGCTCGGTGGTAGAGCATTGTCTAGCATGCATCAGGCCCTGGGTTTCATCCCAGCACCAGTACCCACAAAAACGTTAAACACAGGGCTGGGAAAGTGGCTCAGTGGTAGAGCGCTTGCCCTGCATATTGAGGCCTTGGGTTCCATTCCTCATCACCACATAAGCAGAAAAAAAAAAAAGCCAGAAGTGGCACTGTGGCTCAAGTGGTAGAGCAATAGCCTTGAGCTGAAGAGCTGAGGGACAGCGCCCAGGCCCAGAGTTCAGGCCCACGACCTGACCACCCTCCAAAAAAAAAGTTAAACACAGTCTTACCATATAACCCAGAAATTCCATTCTAGGTGCTATGCAATTCTTTATGTCCACCCTTGAAGTCTTATGTTGAACATGTAAGTGAAACCCCACTTAATTGTACTTGGGGATAAGGTTCTTTTTTGTATTTTTTGGTGCCAGCCTAGGGGTTTGAAATCAGGGTGCTGCTAGCTCAAAGCTCTTGAGCTCTTGTGCACTTGAGCCATAGCTCTACCTCCACTTTGTTTGTTTCTTGGTGGTTAATTGCAGATAAGAGTCTCATGGACTTTCTTGCTTGGGCTGACTTCAAACCACCATCCACAGATCTCAGCTTCTAGTTAGGATTTATAGGTCCAGCCTTTTGCTTGACTTTTATACTCAAGACTGCCATTTTACTACTTGAGCCAGGCTTTAGCCTAGCTTCTTTCCAGTCAATTAGAGAAATAAAGTCTCTGTGATTTGTCTGTCTGGACTGCCTTTGAACTGTGGTCCTTTCATCTCAACCAGCTAAGTAGCTAGGATTACAAGCATGAGCAACCAGCACCCAAGCTCCAAAAAGATTTAAGGTCAAATGATGGTGATGGTAATCATATGGAGAGCAGAACCCCTTGCAATGTTTCTCTTAGAAGCAGAGACACCAGAGCATGCTCTGCCATATACGGACACAGGGAAAAGGTAGCTGTTCCCAAGATGCTAAGATAGCCCTTATAGGTAGGCTAAACCCCATGGTTCATACACGATACCTTAGCTAGTCAGATGATTATGAAGAGGATCACAGTTCTGTAACAAGTGCTTAGAGGTTGCTTTTGCTGAGGAGCTCTAACTCCTTGGCTTGGATCCATGAATTAATTAAAAGCTAGAAAAATCTTGGCCTCCCAGGCTCTATTATACCTTTGAATCTTGTGCCCTGAGCCACTGTCTCTGACAGTCACTTTACAGCTGTCTTGGAAGCTAGGAGGAAGCAAATGGGAGGCCGGATCAATCGCCAGGTGTTAATGACTGAGAGGTTGTATTGGCAGACCACCTGTGACTGATTGCTTTTCCCACCTCTGATTTCAGAACACACCTGTGACCGGAACTATTCATCATTCAAACCTCTTATTCTGTTCTCTGTTCCATCACAAGCCACAGCAAAGTTGTTTTTGTTTTTTTGTTGTTTTGTGGAAGTACTTCTTCTTTGCAGCTGCCTATGAAGTATAAAATTTTTTTCTTTTTAATTTTTTTTTGGGTCCGGTCGTGGGACCTGAACTCTAGGCCTGGGTGCTGTCCCACAGCTCTTCAGCTCAAGGCTAGTGCTGAGCCAAAGCGCCAATTCTGGCTTTTTTCTTTTTGCTTATGTGGTGCTGAGGAATCAAACCCAGGGCCTCATGCATGCAAGGCAAGCGCTCTACCACTGAGCTACATTCCCAACCCCTAAAATTGTTTTTTCTGCCCTTCATCTTTTATTTAATGTGTCAAGGTGAAGGGCTGGACCTTACTATGAAACACAGAAGTGTAAAATCTCCTGTAACCTATTCAGACCAGCCTGGGGAGAGAAAAAAGTTCATGACATTCTCCCTGCCCCCAGCCCCGATCTCAACCAATAGCTGGGTGTAATCAATTATGTCTGTCATTCCAGCTACAGGAGAGACTGACATCAGGAGGAATGCCGATCCAAGTTAGCCTTGACAAAATATTCAAGAGATCTAAATACAACAGAAAAAGCTAGCTGTGATGTTGTGTACATGCCACCCCAGCCAACTACATAGGTAATATAAATAGGAGGATCAAGCTGGGCGCTGGTGGCTCACACCTGTAATCCAAACTATTCAGGAGGCTAAGAGCTGAGGATTATGGTTTGAAGTCAGACTGAGCTGGAAAATCCACGAGACTCTGATATCTAATTAGCAACTAAAAAGCTAGAAATGGAGCTGTAGTTCAAGTGGTAGAACACTAGAGTTGAGCTTAAAAAACAAAACAAAACTCAGAGACAGAGCCCAGGCCCCAAGTTCAAGCCCTAGGACAGACAAAAAGAAAAAAATAAGCATCATGATCCAGGTTGGTCTTAGAAAAAACAGAAACCCTCTCTCAAAAATAACCAGAGCTAGAGGCTGGGGGTTTAGCTCAAGTACAAGGCCCTGAGTTTGGTCCTCAGCTCTAGGAAAAAAAAGAAAAAAAGAAAAATAACCAGAGCAGCTGGGCACTGGTGGTCCATATCTGTAATCCTAGCTACTCTGGAGGCTGAGATCTGAGGATCGCAGTTCAATGCCAGCCCAGGCAGGAAAGTCTGTGACACTCTACAATTAACCACCAGAAAACTGGAAGTGGCATTGTGGCTCAAGTGGTGGAGTGCTAGCCTTGAGTTGAAGAGCTGAGGGACAGCGCCCAGGCCCAGAGTTCAAGACCCACAACCGAAAAAATAAAAGAAAAATAACCAGAGCAATGCCTAGCATGCATGAAACCGTGGGTTCAATTCCTCAGTACCACATAAACAGAAAAAGCCAGAAGTAGCAACTGTGGCTCAAGTGGTAGAGTGCTAGCCTTGAGCACAAGAAACTCAGGGACAGTGCCCAGCCCCTGAGTTCAAGCCCTAGGACTGGCAAAATAAATAAATAACCAGAGCAAGCTGAAAGTTGGTGGCTCTTTCATATAATCCTACTTAGGAGGATGAGATCTGAAAATCACAGTTGGAAGCCAGCCATGGCAGAAAAGTCCCTAGGAGAGTGAGACTCTTATGTCCAATGAACCACCAGCAAACTGGAAGTGGTCTGTGGCCCAAAGTGGTAGAGGGCTAGCCTTCAGCAAAAGAGCTCAGGGAGTCAGGTGCTTGTGGCTCATGCCTGTAATCCTAGCTACGGAAGAGACTAAGATCTGAGCATCATAGTTCAAAGCCAGCCTGGGCAGGAAAGTTCATGAGACTCTTATCTCAAATTAACCACCAGAAAATCGCAAGTAGTACTGTGGCTCAAGTGGTAGAGTGTTTGCCTTGAGCTAAAGAGTTCAGGGACAGCACTCAGGCCCAGAGTTCAAGACCCAGGATTAACAAAAGCAAAAAAGCTCAGAGACAGGGAGTACCCAGACCCTGTTTCAAGCCCCCGACCAACAAAATCCAGAGCAAAATGGATTTGATCCATGGGTCAGATAGTAGAACGCCTGTTTAGCAAGTTGAAGTCCTGAATTCAAACCCCACTACCAAGCCAGGAGCTGGTGTTTCCTAGCTACTCAAGAGGCTGTAATCTGAGGATGGCTGTTCAAAGCCAGCTTGGGCAGGAAAGGCTATCAGATTTTTTTTTTTTGTTGTTGGTGGTGCTTGAACTCTGGGTCTGGGTGCTGTCCCTCAACTCTTCAGCTCCAGGTTAGCACTCTACCACTTGAGCCATGGCCCCACTTCCAGCTTTTTCAATTTATGTGGTGCTGAGCAATCAAACTCAGGACCTTATATATGCAAGGCAAGCACTCTACCACTGAGCCACTTCCCAGCCCTGCCCAAGAGATGTTTTTTTGGCCAGTCCAGGGCCTGGGCATAGTCCCTGAGCTTCTTGTACTCAAGGCTAGCACTCTACCACTTGAGCCACAGCTGCTACTTCTGGCTTTTTCTGTTTCTGTGGTACTAAGGAATCAAACCCAGGGCTTCATTCATACTAGGCAAGCACTCTACCACTGAGCCACCTTCCCAGCCCAATATTTTTATTTTTATTTTGTCAATACTAGGACTTGAACTCAGGGCCTGGGTGCTCTCCCTTAGTTTTTGCACTCAAAGCTATTTGAGTCCCACCTTTACTTTTGGTCTTCTCTTTTCTGATTAATTGGAGAGAAGAGTCTCAAGAGACTTTTCTGCCCTGGCTGGCTTTGAACCACAATCCTCAGATCTCAGCCTCCTGAATAGCTAGGATTCCAGGCATGAGGTCACTGTTGAAGCCTCCTAGGGTCAGATTCCGCCCCCCCCCATCCCCCCTCCACATCCTCACTGGTCCTTTGCATTTCCTAGAGAAAGCCCAGGATATTCTCCAGGGTTGGAGCAGGTTGCTGCTGTGGTGTGTGTGTGGTGGTGGTGGTGCGGGGGGGGGATCTCCTGCTCCCCAGTATCTGCCAGTCTCTCTCCAAATGTCTGTACATCTCAGTACACTTGCCCCTGTGGCCTGCTTTCTCTGCATCCTGACTGTCCAAATGGTCCCCAGCTCCGTGCAACACCAGAATGTCTCCCACCTCATGGCCTGGGGGGGGCTGCAGGGATTTTTTTACATAAGCGTTGGAGAGCCGGGGAAAGCTCTCGAGCAGGGCAAAGGCCAGGCCCAGGGCTTCCTCCATGCGGGTCCTTTAGACCTGTGGCCAACCCTCCCGTCGCCTGTGCTCCTCGAACGCCAGGCCAGGCCAGGCCTTCAAACTGCAAGCGCCCTTGTCGCCTTGGCAACGGAGTCCGGAAGCACCATCGAGACGCGTCCCCCACGTGCAGAGCGGTCGCTCCTCACCAGCGAGCTGCGGCGTGCTAGAGAGGCGCGTCGGGCCGATTGTCACGTGCCCGGCCGCGCGAAGGCGGGACTTCCGGCGGGGCGCTCTTTTCTTTTCCGGCGGGAGGCCCGGCCGGCTCCTCCCCGGT